GGGTGGATCGGTGCTGTGTGTGTGTGTGTGTGTGTGTGAGAGAGTGTGTGTGAGAGTGTGTGTATGATGTCTTGTGTATGTGTGTGTGATGTCTTGTGTGTGTGTGTCTGTGTGTGTGTGTGTGTGTGATGTCTTGTGTGTATGTGAGTGTTTCTGTGTGTGTGTGTGTCTGTGTGCGATTGTGTGTCTGTGTGCGTGTGTGAGTGTGTGTGTGTGTGAGAGAGAGGTGCGAGCACCTTCTTCTGCACTCCGTCCTGTATGACGATGGTCCTGTAGAGTTTGAGAAGCCCCTCTCGAGACAGCGAGCGGATCAGCCTCACCACGCTCTTCTTACACACTTTAGTGCTGATGCCGTCCTTCTTCTCCTCCTCCGTCAGCAGCTTCTGCAGCCTGACACACACACACACACACGCGTCTGTTCATCTGCCATGTCTCCAGCGGTGAGAGCACGCGAGCGAGATTCTTACGTGTAAAAGCCCTCGATGATCTTGCTGCAGCGCACCGCCTCGATGATCATGTTCTTGCGTTTCAGCAGGCGATACGTCTCGTGAACCTCCGCCTTCTTCGACTTCTGCTGAGAAACACACCGTCAGTCGCGCGGAAACAACAAACCTGCTCAACAAAACTCACACACACGAGTTATCATCACTATCACTAACGTCATCATTATCAAGGTTATGGTTATTGTTAACATTACAGTTATCACAATAGTTATTGTTCACATTATAGTTATTGTTATAGTTTCTGTTATTGTTACAGTCATTGTCAGTTAACATCTATCTTTATTAACATTATTGTTAACATTACAATCATCGTTAGCGTTCTCACATACTTACACTGACCTCCGTCAGCACCTCCACGATCACGGACTGAGTATCCTCCGGCTGCTGTGATTGGCTGGCTCTCGTGCTGGGGGCGGAGTCAGCAGCCTCAGCCTCCTGAGAGGCTTTAGCCCCGCCCACTCGCGCCGAGGACTTCTCTGAAGGACACAAGCACGAATCAAAACCAACATCACATCCGTTAAAACGCACACGAGCCGTGATTGGTCACTCACTTTTGGGGGGCGTGGCCTGATTGCTGAAGCTGAGTTTGGGTTGTTTGAGCTGCTTGGGTACGTGTGTTTTCTGCGGTGCTTTCTTCACTTGCTGCTCAGGGGCCCCGGCGGGGGGCCCCGGCTCCGCTCGGCTCTGGGGCTCGGGTTCGGAGAGGTGTGTGACGCGCAGGTGCTGGCTGCGCTGCCGCTCTTTAGTGAACTGCTGGTTGAGCTGACTCTGCTCCACAAACAGCTTGCTGATGTACTTGGTGGTTCTCTGCCGGCCCTCGTCCTCCATGAAGCCCTGAGATAGATACACACACACACACACACACACATACACACACATACACACACATACACACACACACACACACACACACACACACACACACACAGAGGTAGAAGTGATGTGTGGATTCTTCACGCTAGGGTTGTGATGGTGAGGAAGTTTTCCCATCAGTTAATCGACGCATCACAACACCGATAATACCAGTATCACCATGGGGGGATTCCCTCTTTTCCCTGCTTTCATTCGCTTTTACTTTCACTTTCAAATTAGCGGAAATTTAACGTAAAGCAATTGTTTGTTTTCAGTTCATTTGAGTTTTCCGTCTTTTCCTCGCTTTCCTTCGCTTTTAAATAGCTTGTAAAAATGGCATGCACATTTTCTTTTCACTTTCAAATTAGCGGCAATTCGGCGTAAAAGCGATGGTTTGTTTTTAGTTTGTTTGTGTTCTCTTTCCCTTGCTTTTAAATAGCTTAAAGCGCAGTGCGAATTTTACTTTCACTTTCAAAATAGCGGCGAAGCGAAGCAACAACAAAATACAACGTCCTTAACCTACATATAAAATCATAGAACTTTCATTAACACAACAAATAAAAATGTCTAATATAAAATAACAAATATCTTACACAAAGTTTAAAGAGGTACAAAACTGAAAATAAGTAAACACTGTGGAAAATAATAAATACGAAATCTAGAACGTGTATTAGCAAAACGAGTAAGAAAGCTTGGAGGCATACACGGCATACACCTTGATGTCAAATAAAATAAATAAAGTACACAAAGTTTAAATAAAGTAAAAATCAAACACTGAGGAACCAATTAAAAAAGAAACGGATGTCTAAAAAAACTTCCAAAATCACCATAGATGAACGGCAAAAGTCAACAGGTTTTCCAAAATCCAAAATATTGGCAAACAGGTGCTTTTGCATTTGGTTTCTAAACTAACTCATCTGCTATGGTCTTGTCTGTCTCAGCTCCCTCTTCTAGTCCGTCAGCTGGACTCGCTCTCCTCACTAGTGATAAATGCCTGCTTCACGCTGTGGGGAAGTGTGTGAGATCCGCGTGTCTGTTACCTTGATCATGCCGATTCGCTCCAGTAATCTGCAGATCATGCGTCCCTCCAGCTTCCCGAGGTTGAGTCGTCCTCGCAGCGCCGACTGAGAGATCCCTCTGGTCCCGGTCGACACCACTGCAGCAGCCAATCACAGCGCACACATCACACAAAGAGACGCCCACTGGTGTCACTGTAGAGCTAGAACCATCTCTCAAACTCTAGAGAACTATAACGATAGCGACAAAACCGCAGCCTGCGCTTACAATAAACACAACATGGTGGTCCATGCTGTGCACGCTAATATAGTTTCCGTTAGCATTAGCAGTAAAGTTATCACTATAGTTATCATCACTGTTAACAATAATGATAATGGTAACTCTAACGCCTATAATGATAACTATAATGTTAATTATATCGATCTTTCATTAACATAGTTATTAGAGTTAATGCTAAAATTAATGTTATCATTATAGTTATTAAAGATCTTGTTACACTTGTAATTATAGTTTTCATTATCACTATAACTTAAATTTGTTAATAATATAGTTATCATTATAGATGTTATTGTTAACAGTTATAGTTAACATCATTATAGTCATAAGTATTATCATTAACATGACAGTTATCGTTATAGGTATTATCACTAACATTATAGTTACTTTTATTGTTAACATTGTTATAGTTATAGGTATTATAGTTAACAGTTATTGTTACAGTTATCGTTACGGTTAACATCGGTTTCACTTTATTTTAAGGTGTCCTTGTTACAGTGTAATTATACAATTAAATACGGAGTAATATTAATTAACTACATGTACTTACTATATGGTTAGGGTCAGGATTAGGGTTTCGTTTAGAGTTACTTGCAGGTAATTATGCATAATTTATTGTTATTATAATAGTAAGTACATGTAACGTGTAACAAGGACAACAAAAAATAAAGTGTTACCACAAAAACTTGTATTTTGGATGCGATTAATCGCGATTAATCGGTTGACAGCACTACATTATAGTTTCCGTTAGCTGTCGTTATAGGTATCATTATCTTTATGGTTATCATCATCATTATTATAGTTATCGTTAAGGTTATAGCTGTCATTATACTGATCATTATAGTTATTATCGTTATGGCTCTAGGTGCGCCTGAAGGCTGCGGTATGCAGCGAGAGAAGCGTGAGTAGCGAGCGATGTCTGACCGATGTCGTAGGCCTGCGTGAGCATGTCTCGCTCGATGATGCGCGGCTCGCCGAGGACGCTCCTCCTGGCGCACGCATCTCCGTCTTCATCGTTGTTCTCCTCGTCCTCCTCCTCCTCCGCCTCCTTCTGTCCGTACGGCTTCAGCAGCTTCAGACAGCGCACGAACACGTCAGTGCCTAACAACCAATCACACGAGCCCGTCAGCTCACAGCGCTGCGCCTGCTCCAATCAGACGAGCTAGACTACGGCACGACCTCTGACCTCGAAGCGTTTTGAAGGGGCCTCCGCCAGGGTCGAGCTCCTTCAGAGGGATCCTCACCACGCTCACCATCTTAGCGGCCAACATGTACTGATACACGCGCTTGAAGGTGCGCTCGCTCACACGCTACACACAACAACACGCAACATTACCACATCATCGTCTCATTACCGCTGCAGACATCATCACTGTTAACATTATAGTTATCTGTAAATATGACAGTAACTATAAGATTAAGGATAATACGGTGGTCACCAGCTGCTCGCGGATCTTCATCATGATGCCGGTCTTGTCAGGCAGCTCAGAGAGGAGGTTAGACGTGGACTCCATCAGGATATCATACTTACTCCTCCTGACACAGACACAGACAGACACACAGACAGAGCCGGTCAGTGAGCCGCATCACATCAGCCTGTGACATCAGCGTAGCGTGTGTGTGTGTGTGTGTGTGAGAGAGAGCATGAGTGTGTGTGTGTGAGAGCGTGAGTGTGTGTGTGTGAGAGCGTGAGTGTGTGAGAGCGTGAGTGTGTTTGTGAGAGCGTGAGTGTGAGAGCGTGAGTGTGTGTGTGAGAGCGTGAGCGTGAGTGTGTGAGAGCGTGGTATATAGTGTGTGTGTGAGAGTGTGTGTGTGAGTGAGTGTATATAGTGTGTGTGTGAGTGTGGGTGTGAGTATATAGTGTGTGTGTGTGTGTGTGTGAGTGTATATAGTGAGTGTGTGTGTATATATAGTGTGTGTGTGTATATAGTGTGTGTGTGTATATATAGTGTGTGTGTGTATATAGTGTGTGTGTGTATATATAGTGTGTGTGTGTATATAGTGTGTGTGTGTATATATAGTGTGTGTGTGTATATAGTGTGTGTGTGTATATATAGTGTGTGTGTGTATATAGTGTGTGTGTGTATATATAGTGTGTGTGTGTATATAGTGTGTGTGTGTGTCACCTGAAGATGCGTGTGTGCAGGTCTCTCTGCAGCTCCCCCTGCCAGCGAGCGCGGCCCAGTCTCTCCAGGATGCAGTAGCACAGGTCGGGCAGCTTGAGCTCGGGGTTTCCCTCGGCTCCGATTAGAGCTCTATAGCGCCGCTCCTGAGACGCCACCAGCACCAGCCGCTCGCCCCACCTGCAGGACACAGAGACGACAGCGCAGGGGGCTGTGATCATATCATGAGATTATATCGTAACGCTTGTTTTAACGATGTGTGATTTGATTGACATTGTTGAGTATTTCGCAAAAACCGTTCAAAACAGCCCTACAGAGTGCACGCATTACGTGAAGTCCAGACTAGTGCGCATTTAGAGTGTGTTCTTTCACTGCATGATTCAGTCTAATACAATACATTCAGAATGATCACAAAATTCAAGACATGGGGGCAGAAAATTTATATATTTATTCCACTTCATATAGTTAATCAATTTCACACGAAGAGTGCCATTTTTATCTCCAAAAATTACCATAATTACAAATGTGATCAATAAAAATTTCAATAAACAAAAAGTTAATTAAGAGACTTACGTTTTAGATGCCATATTGCCTGTTTTTGCTGTATTGCTGTACAGCTACAGCGCCGTTTTGCGTCTCTGAGCAACATAACGCGGTTTTGTTTCTGAATGAAGCAACTGTTTAAATGATTCGTATGTCAGTGGCCCTTGGCTTGGTATTGTTGGCAGAATTCGGCCCTCTGCGAAAACTAATTGAGGAACCCTGGTGTAAACACATCTAAATGCCTCTTCAGATGCAGCTTCTGTGTTTTCTCTGCATTACAAAGATGAACTTTATTGATACTGATTTAATTTGCTTGGTAACAGCCTAGTGCTGGGCAGTATGACCAAAAATTTATATCACAGTATTTTTCAAAATTATACAAAAAAAAATATATATATATTAACCCTGTCCATGTAAAGTTATATGCAATTTTGCAACTTTGTTGCCATGCCTACACCATGAAATCCCCCAAAACCCCAAACTGACAGTATAAATTTAAACAGCTATCCACCTTATTTTTCAACGCGGACATAAGCTTGTTTTCTGTGAATGAGTGAGACTTCCGTTTCATTAGCCACTATAGGAAATAATGAGAAGAATATCATATCAAAGTGCAGTAAATGGTAAAACTGTATGCTCTACAAAGTATACAAATCAAGACAATACATTAAAATAATATGGTAAAAAAAAAAATACCAGTTTGTAGTTTCAAGCAGCATAAAGAACAGTTTTGTAAAGTTAAAAATAACTGGAAGCGACTGACTCCGGAAGCCAGACACATTAAATTTACAAATGGCCGTTACGCTTAGTAACACATACAGCTGTTCCCTCACCACAGTGCAACAGTGAAAAGGGACCCCTTTCAAACAGTGCCGCGTTCCGAACATTGTTTAAGCAACATACACCGGTATTGCGGTATTTTAAAAATTCATATCATAACAAAAATAAACACCGGTATTCGGTATGAACCGGTATACCGCGCAGCACTATAACAGCCCAAATGTCTTATTATTCTAATTGACTGATTAAATGTAAGAATTTGACTCAAAACATAATGGACGCTTTTAGAAAAAAATGGCTTAATAAAGGTAAAAATGCCCATAAAATGTAAAAATCAGTTTAAACTTATTGGGAAAGATGAATTTCTATCAGTGTGAGCAGACCACACACAGAATATGACACACTTCAGGAGTCAGCACACACGGTCTGATGAGACTGATGAGACTGAGGTGATGTGCTGTGTGAGGATGGCTCAGCCCTGGCTCTCACCGGCTCTGCACCTGCTCCAGCGTCAGCTCAGCGCTCCGGGTCTGCTCGCTCACATCCACACGCTCTCTGAAGAGCCGACAGGAGCCCTGGACCCCGGCCACACCCGTCACCACGCTCACCGGATACACCTCCAGCGGCTCGGCCTCACGCAGCTCTCGCAGCTCCTGGATCCCCGTGTCCCGGTCCACCTCCACAAACCTCAACACACACAACAAGACACTTAACTACTTCTAAAAACATATACTGTATTTAATTTTTTTTTAGTAAATAATATTAATTAATAATATGATGTATACAGTGATTACAACTTAATTTACATCATAATTGTGTTGCTATTTACTATTTGTTTGGGGTCAATATGACCTGCAAACAACATAATTAATAACAATACTAATTATATTAATGCTACATGGTACACAGAATTGTTCTTAATCTTCACAACAGCTCTGAACTAGGAAATGTGCTTAGTTTCTATTTCAGTCATCTGTTTACTTCAGCACTACAGCTGCAGAACTTCTCCTCAGTGTTTACAGCGATCACTCAGTGTGTACTACAGACCAGGGTGATGGTCAGAGTGTGTACTGCAGTGAAGAGCGG